TACATATTAAGTTATTCAATTGTTATTCCATTATAATTTTCCCAATGAAAGGAAAATGTTAATTTTCCCCAGTCTGACTCGCCCCAGTGACAGATATATATGCAATGTTTGACTCATGATTAGAGATATTTTGTGCACAACCTGTACTATTTAATTATTTTTTATGGAAGTTTTATCTGATGAGTGTTTTATATGGTGTGATGTGAGCCAATGGATTTAAACACAGAATAAAAACTTACTTAGTGGGTTGTTGGCGGGTGCTCTGGTGTGGTTTGCTCCTTTTTTCTATCAAACATCTATCATCCTTATCTCCCCTCCTTTTTTGTGTTTGTTACTCTCTTGTAACACCTGCACCTGTCTTCGGCACTTACATGACCTTATTGTGTTGCAATAAAACTTCTTTTTTTATGTATTACATATTCCATTTTCTTTATTGTCTTTCCAATCACACCTGGTGTAGATCTATAATTCTACCACCACCATGTCCTCATCCTCCATATTTAATTATTCTGCCTACCCTCTCACCAATTCTTTTCCCTCCTCTCGTTCTCACCCTTCTCATTTTCCTGCTACCCTCTGAGGGCTGTCTCTCCTTCTCTTTCTGACATCTACTCCTTTACATTCTCCTCTTCTTCCAATCTGCCCACCTCCCTGACCTTTTCTTACATGTAAATGTGTTAATAAAATCTCTCGCACCCACCCACAAGCGTGGGCTTATTCTGATAATGATGACTGATGAAGGCAATGATCTTTTTTCCCCCTCCCATTCGCTTGTGGGGAATACGAGAACCGAGAAAGAGAATCACAATTCACAGCAAATGAGAGTAACGCCCCCTTGCAATATGGCCGCTGCCGGTGATAATGAAAACAATGACAATGAGCTTTTATTAGTTGACGATTTTGCATGTTTAGACGTATTTGAAAGCGATTCTGATTCCACGTCGAAAAGGCCAACTTGCCAAAGATGCAAGTAAGTATTCAATTTCAGTTTCTTTCGACAGCACAACCCTTTTTTTCTCTACGAACATAGAGTCTAGAATCTACACTGCCAATGACACGCACACGCACGACAACACCAGACTACACACACTGTGACACACTACACACTCTCACACTCGACATTATTAAATTATTGACCTTAGATTGCTATTGCTATAATGTAAAGTAGAAGTAGACCTCCATGACATATAGGCTACACAATATAGACCTATTAAATATAGGAAAATAGGGTCTTTTATTAGTAGATCTAATATCAGATCTAGATTCTAGATTCTATATAGAATATAGAGGATAGGCTACAGTACAGTTAGTGTTAGATCAGCCATGGATGATGGGCACATCAAAAGAGTCCAGAATATCGTATCTAGAATCTAGGTCTAGATCTAGAGTCTAGATCTAGATTTAGATCAAGATTCTAGGTGTGTAAACTTTTCTTAGTCTGTAAACATAGTTTTGTGTTATTTTACTTTCACATCCGTCTTTTATGTTCAGATATTCGAATGCCTCAGATGTTTTATAGCACTTCATTTTTATATATGTTTTACACTCATATTATGAGATCTAGATTTAGATCTAGATCTCTGCTGTCGCAAAGTATTAGTTTTTTATTTGATGTTTCAGTATTAAATTAATTTATTATGTAAATGCACCTACCTATCTCAAGTCCAGGTTCCGTGTCCTCTTTTTTTGTTTAATTTTGTCTACTGAAGCTCTGATTTTGAGCTACACTGATGTAATCATAGCTTTTAAACACTTTGCAGTCGCTTGCCGCATAACGTAATGCGACGAGGAAAATTAACCGTACTGGTCACTTGACAGAGTTCTACGACAGACCCGAGAAGTTTGTGTCAGTCACTCTCCTTGCTTAGATGACCAGATGGGGTATTTTGTACTGCTGGCTGTGTGACCGCAGAGTGTTTTAAAGTGGGAGAAAGATAGGCCTACCTTTTAAGCTATTTCTTGAGAGTTTCTCTTCTAGTTTCAACTCTATTTGCGAATATAATTCAAGTTCAAATAAACCCAGATTTTCTCAATTCTGTTATAATATAAATTGAAATGCTAATTTTTTAGTCCAGGAAACCAAAACATGGCTGTGTCTCTAGACTAGTGGACAATAATCTCATTCAAACACAGCATTTTCTAAATGAAATATTCAAGCATGTTAACTCAGAAGAAAACGGTCGCTTTTAAGGACAAGTGGGCTAACCCTGATTTGGGGGGTTTGGAGAAATCTTGACCTACACCAAAAGTGAGCTTTGCTCTACCTTTAGAAGTTTGGTTTCATTTTGGTTTCATTGGTGTGTTTATATTGTTTGATTATAGAGAAAACTCTCCTTGTCTTTTAAAGAAACTGAACAAGGGTCCAAAAACTTTAACTTGGATTTTCTCAAAACAGCATTTTGTGGGATAGCCCCCTGTGCTTAAAAGCGACCAATTAGACGTTCATGTTATAGAAGAGAGGGATATCATTAACCGAAAACCACTCTAGCTCTAACAAGTTTCTTCAAACTATTTCCCCACAACAAAGTAAATGGGTGACTTACTGATCCACCACAAGTGGATGACACTTAGTTGACAAAGTTGTAACAGTTGTTCCCGGGAGACTCATTCAAGTGCCAAAATGGATCTGATGTATTAATTCTTATAATTAAATTTTTCTGAAACCGTATTCAGTCGTGAGCATTTTAACCTTACCGTACGCCATGTACAAAAAATAGTACAGGGCGTTTTAAATTTCGTTTAATTCTGTTATGGCTAGCTTTAGGTGTATGAGCAGCTAAGAATGCCTCGAGTACTTAATTTCCGAAATTGAAACAACAGCCATAGAAGTTTTGATCTCAAGTTTTGAAATTGATTACCATTTTCTACCCTACCCCCTATTCATACGTCATGTACCAATAATGGCACACACTGGAAAAAACTGCAGACCCTAGGCCAACACACACGCAAAGCAAACACGCTTGGTCACAGCGATGTGAGTTCTGTTTTTAGCACACAGATGTGTTGTTATCTGAGGGTCCCACCCACTATCTAATGCAAGGGAGGCTGCTGATGAGCGTGTAGTAGGGTTGCGTTGAGCGTGTAGCAGGGTTGCGTGCTGAGTATGAAGCCAAACTCCAACATAATTCTCGTAATCTAAGTAATGTTTCCAGTTTTCTCACCCTTCCTTTTCGAAACTGCTCTCCGCTCTGCCTTTAATGGTCACTATCTTGGAAAAAGTTGGTAATGCTCTCGATTACGAGTTACGATTATAACTGTTCCAAAATTGGAACACGGCATACGCACTGTATAGTAAATACCGACGTACAGTAAAGTATAATGTATATATATATATGTTTGTTTTCATATAGTTTTTTATTATTAATTTTTTATGTTTAATAACTTGACCGGTGTTTTACAATTAAATATAGATCTAGGACAAATTAATCTGCTTCTCAAAGGAAGTTCTGCTGTGAAACTATCTGCCACCCAAAGAGTCGAACAAGTCTTGGAGTGGTCCAAGACTACGGCAATAAATAGATATAACAAATAGCATTTTTGTAGGGCATGTCCGTATCCCCGCTCACCAGCAAGCTCTATAACTGTACAATCTTCTATATCATTACTCCGGTAGAGCTTAGAACACTCAGAAGCATTCTCAGCTTCCTGTGAAGCACGCTGTCACCGGAACAAATAGTTTCCCCCTTGTGTCTTTTTTATATGATCATAATGACACTGTCCAAGACACCTGTCTGTGTAAGACAACCACTTGTCTTCTCGACAGTGGGTCACCGTCTTGGCCAACTTCAACTGTGTACATCAAATACGCTGAATGTTTTTATTGATATTTTTTAGAACGTCATGTCATATATAATATATAGCATGTTCATAATTCTTATTTCCCCTGTCTATTTCATCAGACGTCCTCTGACAGTTTGCTTGTGCCCTTTTCTCCCACGTGAGCCTTTAGAAATCAAAACAACCATTTATATTCTGCAGCATCCCTTTGAGGTGAGAATTGAAGCACGTCTGCCCTTTTTAGGGGTTGAAGCCCTGGGGATTTATAAAACTATTCTGTTGGTTTGTCATGTCCCATGTGTGAACTGTGTGTTGAGAAAGTTTCTCTGTTGTGATTTTTAAAATAGCAAGGTAGGGCGGATCATTGACACTTCTCAGGAATAATGTCTCCCATCATGGAGTGCATTTGTATATATATATATATATATATATATATATATATATATATATATATATATATATATATATATATATATATATATCCTTCATTGTAAAAGCTGGGTCTGTTTTTGTCTTCAGCAGCACAGGTTTAAAAATGGTGATGTGACATACAGGGTCTGAATTAGTTCAATCATGATGGCTCAAAACCTGGACTGGATTAATTGCCAAAACAGTCTTGTTCTCAAATCCAGACTGAATTGGCTTATAATTAGCATACAGTAGTAGATGACCTTGCCTGCCTTCATTGCCATCCCCTCTATTTTACTTCTCATTTCTGTTGTCATTTTATTTTCTACATTGGAATGTAGCCATTTTTTTGTTTGTTTTTTTAATGAATAAAAGATGAATTATGGCAATACGGTTTAGTCATAAAAACTATTTCCAGTGCAGTTTTCATCGGTAATGACCCTTGTTAGTAAATTTTGTTCTGTTTTCTAACAGTTCAGCTTTTGATTTACTTAGTGCCTACCTCTCTGTTTAATGATTTATCAATAATATGATGAGCAGTGAAGGATGTGTGTGGGGATTGTGCTTGTTTTTGTCCAGTTTTGTGTTGTCAGGGGACAATCAAACATCTATTGTCCTTATCTCCCCTCCTTCTTTTTCGTGTTTGTTACTCTCTCGTAACACCTCTAATCTCAGGCACTTATATGACCATATTACTTTTTTTTTAATACACAATGTGCAAAACCAAGAATAACGTTAGTTATAGAATAGATATACTTGAACAGATAGATAAACAGGAAATGACCAGGATAGTACTGGGTTTTCTTTTTAGAGCATCTGAACAGAGAAATAAGTGACAAACCATGATTGCCAACCAACATCGGTTTTTCATATCTGTGAGATACAGAAGGTCATTTTTACCATCATCCATCAAAATTCTTCCATCTTAACCATCTTGTTATAAATATTTTTAATATGACCTTAGAAGAGCATGCATCAGAATAACATTGAGTAGGTATCTAGCTTAAGATTATTATTGTTTATATTTCTGTTCATTTATATTATGCATGTGAATGTAAGCCTACGTGTGTGTACATGTTTGTGTGTGTGTGTGTGTGTGTGTGTTTGTGTGTGTGTACACGTGGTGAAATACCAAACCAATGTGCCTGGATCTGGACAATAACGCAGTATTTTATCTTATATTTTATCTTATATGGCGTTTAAAAGAGAACCTACATGCTTCTTTGTTTTTTATTTAATATCGAAATCTCAATGTCTGTATAGAGATCTTATATATAGACTTTGTCCCCTTGTGTCAGGAATCTCGGTGTCTGCGAACTGTTCCCATCCTGCAGAACAGCGTCCCCGCAGACAGGTGCCAGATTTTCCGAGGGAAACGTTTCTCCAAGTCAAGGTATGGCGCTCATAGAATGTGACAGTGGTGAAAATACTATGTCGGGAAAAAAAACCTAGTAAAAAGTAAAATGTTGTATTTGGTTTGTATTAATAGGAGCCTATATAAAGCTGTGTACCTATATAAGGCTGCGTGTTCTTCTTTGCTTGAAAAATTTGCTCAAGTTTTTGTCAGCTTTGACCCAAAAGCTTATTCTTTAAGTGTCGTTACGGGTAGGGATAGGAATAGCCTGGAAATTTTAAGAAGCAAGGTATTAATTAAGTAGTCTAGCAATGTTTGAACGTGTTGATGTGTTTTATATAGATATAGAAGCAAACAGAAATATAAAGATTATACAGTCGAAACCTGTTCTAACTGCCACCTGACCAAGACAATCACCTGTACAAACGATCAGGTCCTACTTCCTACTCCTCCTTTGGTTTTTTCCATTTATCATAATGATACAAAATAATGTAGACAATAATGACACTCTCCAAGATGGCCACCTGTCTAAAACAATCACTTTTCTCCTCGATGAGTGATGGCTGTCTTTGACTTTGACAGTTTCGACTATATTTACAGAGAAAGAGAGAGAGAGAAAGAGAGACAGAGAGAGGGGGAGACAGAGAGAGAGAAAGAGAGAGAGAGAGAGAAAGGAAGAAAGAGAGAGAGGTCGGCGAGAGATAGAGATAAATAAATAATATATAAATAGATAACAACCCAATCTCAAACACATTTGTCCAATCTATGTTTCCCCCTCAGATTTCCTGATCTGGTTCCCATCTTGGAGTCTGCCAACACGGTTCTCCTGTACCCCGGAGATGACGCGGTGGACATCAGCGAACTGCCCACTGGTCAGACCTACAACCTGGTCCTACTGGACGGCACCTGGGCCCAGGCCAAGGGGATCTACACACAGAACGAGTACGTCCGGAACATGAGGAAGGTACGTTCTCTACATATGATATATGTAGCCTGTGTCTTTTAACACTATCTGTATGTCTTGGGGTCATTTTGTACCCCAGGGGTTGCATTCTTCACATTTTAGTAGGTTCTCTACATATATATAGCCTGGGTCTTTAACACTGTCCGTACGCCCTGGGTTCATTTTGTTCCCCCCGAGGTTGTATTCTTCACATTTTAGAGTACTTCTTCTTGTGCCAAGATCTCTTTGAAACTTTCAGTATTCTCAAATAATCATTTTGGCAGACTGCTTTGCAAAGCGTACGGATTGGATTAACGAGTAAATTCCCTCTTTGAAAAGTGGTGGCACAGAGTTCCCCACGTCGTATGGATCCTGGATACGATAGTAAAACACGACGTACGGATAGGGTTAAAGGACAATTCTGTTCTCTGTTCGTGGGTGGTTGGCGGGTACTCTGGTGTAGTTTGCTCCTTCTTTCTTTCCCAAACGTCTATCGTCTTGATCTCTCCTCCTTCTTTTTTGTGTTTGTTACTCTCTTGTAACACCTCTAATCTTTGGCACTTATATGACCTTATTGTGTTGCAAGTGTCGTAAAACTCTTACTAAAACTAATGCTGTTCTCTGTTTGTTTTTCCGTTCTCAACAGTGTTTTTATTTTCTCACATTTTCCAATTTCATCGTTTATAAGGGATGTTGTAAAATGCTATCAGCCCTGTTGAGATCTATAAAAACTGAGTTTTTTTATTTTGCACATCTTTTTTTACTTCAACTACAAGGCTGAAGGAAAGGCCGTTATCTTTTTAGCGAGAGGTTGAGAGTGCCTTTGGATACCGTCCAATTTCTTCTTCTTTCCTTCTGTAAACCCCGTGTGTTGTCTTGTTTTGTTGGGGGGGGGGGGGGGGGTGGCACTATGTGGCTGTCATTGTTTCCATATACTTTCTCTAGCTTGCAGTAAACACTGCTGGTGTAGACAAATCATCAGCATTGAGACTGGTGCTACTGAAGACTACTCAAAGTGGGTGGTTGGCGGTGCTCTATTGGGGTTTGCTTCTTCTTTCCTATCAAATGTCTATCGTCTTTATCTCCCCTCCTTCTTTTTTGTTTTTGTTACTCTCATTACACCTCTAACTGTAATCTTCGGCACTTATATGACCGTATTGTGTTGCAAGTGCGGTAAAACTCTACTAAAGCTAAAACTCTCTCTGGCTTGAAGTAAACACTGCTGGTGTAGACACAAATCATCAGCATTGAGACTGGTGCTACTGAAGACTACTCAAAGGTGCTGACATGTACGCTGTCCGTGGCTTAGTGCTCACCAATGGTTTGTGACCTGCAGGGTTTGACTTGACATTGCATCTTATGACAAAGTGCAGCTGTTCAAGCAATTTATAATCAATTCGCACGCTTGAACTAAATGTACTGTGGAGTCCGCTTAATTTGAACTTACGGTTAATCCAAACAAAGCAGTTAACTGAAAGAAATTAGCATCCCATCTCTGTTTGAGCAACCTCCGTAAACCTAAAATGCGGTTCTGCACATTTCAGTTTTAGCGGACCCCTGTATGTGTATACTTCTGTTCACTTGCATCAAATCTTTTCAGTGGATGGTTGGCAGGTGCTCTGGTGTGGTTTGCTCCTTCTTTCCTATAAAAAATCTATCGTCTTTATCTTTCCTCCTTCTTTTTTGTGTTTGTTACTCCCTTGTAACTCCTCTAATCATCGGCACTTATATGACCTAATTGTGTTGCAAGTGTCGTTAAACTCTTACGCAAAAAAAAAAAATCTTTTAGACTACTAAAGACTTCCTTAACTGGAATCCACAACATCATTTATTACATTGACTGGGGTGGGGGGGGCAGGTGGTAGGGCAGGTGTGCTAGTGCCTTTCTTTGGGAATGACTGACAACAAAATTTGTGAGTCGTCTCATTTCCCAAGGTCAGTGTGGCCTTTCATTTCCAGATCAGCCATTGTTTTATTGATAATGTCATCACTGCGCCAGTTTTGTACTGTTAATTTGAAAATAAATCAGTTGAAATCCCATATCATGGCCTGGCCTCCAAGCTGTGGGTAATAAATAATACATGTATATCTTGTATGGCACTGCTGAGTACCGTTACTGGAATTACTTATACATAATTAGCTTACAGTACTTCCATACTAATAAATCTTGAATGGGTTTTTTTCTGTTTTACTATCAAGCGTACTTTCGGGAATTATTCAATTTTACTGGTAGAGGACAATTCTGAAAATTTTCTGAAAAGATTTTTATTAATGAAATTTTTATGGCAAAATCCATGTATACCTTTACTTTTAAAATCCCCTTTTGCTTTTTTGTTTACCTTTCTGGGTTATTTATGGCTTTACCAAAACAGTTTCGATCTATTAGTGTACAGGTTTGTCAGTTTTCCTTTGGGCAACATGTGTACAGTTTGATTTCATATCATGCACCCATGAATGTTAACTTTTTTCACCTTTGATATCTTGAGACTTACACATTTATTTTAGTGTAAGTTCTACATGGAAACCTTTTTTGTGTGAACAGGTGAAGATCAGAGCCGAGCAGAAAAGCAAATACGTGATTCGCACTCAGCCTTCTGATACATCGCTATCAACTCTTGAAACAGCAGCCATTGCTGTCGCTACCCTGGAAAGAAAACCAGAGATAGCAGAGGTAGGTTTTGGAATTAGTCACGAGGTCACGTTTTGTTTTTCAACATGACCATCCAGCTGTGTGAACAGAGATATAAACGGAATATACATAAATATATTTGTGTGTTGTTAATGAAGAAACGCCGTGACAGATTTATCTTGGTAATTACTCATTGCGCATAGATTCATTAAGATTATGAGACACATATATAAATATATATGAATAGACAGAAACATGGAGGGGCTTGCTTTGATTAGTGGATTGAGAGAAAGAAGAAAGATCGACAGACCGGTTATAGACATATGTATCGGAGTTAACGGTCAGTGTGTGAATACGAATTTATGTGTAGTTTTATTTTATTGTAGAATCGCTTAGAAACCTGCATACATCATGTCTTAATATAGTACTTGTTTAATAGTAATGCTGTTTTGTTTTTTGCGTACACCTGTGTTTTTCATGTCTTTGCTCTCTGTGTTTTCCGTGTCTTGTCTTTTTGTCCTTTGTGTTTAAAGATCTGAGGTGGGACTGAGGGGCAAGCTCAGCCTCATTCGTCGACACACACATACATATAAATGCCTTTACATGCAGTCACTCAACTCACACACAAGTGGGTGGTTGACGGGTGCTGTGGTGTGGTTTTGCTCCTTCTTTCCTATAAAAAATCTATCATCTCTTCATCTCTATCTCCCCTTCTTCTTTTTTGTGTTTGTTACTTTCTCGTAACACATAATCTATTCTTCGGTTCTTATATGGCCTTATTGTGTTTCAAGTGCCGTAAAACTCTTACTAAAACTTATTTGAAAAAAAAGAAGAAAAAAAAGCCATGGTGCCCTGAGTATCGCCCTCTCTTTGATCCCCAGACGTTGCTGCAGCCGCTTGTGGCGCTGTGTGACTTCCAGCTGCAACACGGCGCCACCACCCACCAGAGCCGGGAGTACCAGATGGAGCACGGACTCTGGACCAAGCCCATGTCCAGGGCTGACCACAGGAAGCTGGCCAAGAAATGTGCCGGAGAGCAGGGGTCACCTGGTACGTGAAAGTGATTGGTCATAGCCGGACAAGTGCACAGTGTGTGTAAAAGTGGATCCATGTATGGATGTATGTATGTGTGGGAAATTTCAAGTTGCAGTCAGTATTATTTGTACTTGTAGTTGTAGAGGGTGTGATGGCGGAGCGGTTAGTGCGCTCATCTCCAAAGCGGAAAGTCCGGGTGCGAGCCTCGGTTCGGGCAGGGATTTTTCCGCCCCTCCTGCCCACCCACAGGTAAAGGGTACCTGACTTCGAGTTGGGGAAGTAAAGGGGGAATGGAAAGGAACTGGCCACCCTACCACAATATACGGAAAGGCCCAGGAAGTTGTCTCACTAACAAGGCAATCCCCAAGGTCCGGATCGGATACGGGGACAACTTTACTTTTACTTTTAGTTGTAGACCATTGGTTCCGGCCAAAAGACTCAAACTCAGACGGTAGCTGAACGAGGAAAGTGGGTTGTAGGAGTGGTTTGGTTGCAGGTCCCGCTGCTTCATGAAGTTCATTCCCAACTCGGAGCTCTTGTCTTTGTCGTGTTTTGCCCCGGGGCAGAAAAGATTTGATCCGGAAACAAGAGGAAAGATTTGGACCTGACATGATTTTGAACCTCGATCTTTTGCGTGTCATTCACGTCTATTGCAGTCTATGCTTAAGGACTAGCCTGTACTTAGTGATTAGAGCCTTCAGTCATTTATTTTACTTTGCATCAGTCAAATTGATTTTGATATATGGCAATGGTGAATTTTTTGTTCATCCGAACAGGATAGGATTTCATCTTGCTTTTCTAAGCAGTTCCAAGCTGTTACAGAAAGGCTTCTGTCTACTTTTAAGGTTTCTTTTACTAGAATGTATTCTACTTTGAATGATGAAAGGTTTTATCAAATTTACGTGATGTGCTTGCCCTTTAAGTATCTTTGGTCGTCTTTGACCATTTGGTTGGTTGTTGCTGTGGTCTGGTTTGCTTTTAACTGCTCTTTTTTATGAAGCTACATTTATTTTATTTCTGTAATCTATTTTTATAGGACTAGTATCACCTGATAGTGCTAGCTGTTCTGCACC